TAGGATATCGATGTTTATGCATTCCATTTCATTTCTGAGGACTTCCAATTTTCCTAGATTCATACTTTGTACATTCCATGTTTCAATTATAAATGGATGTTTGCAGCTATTTCCTCTCATTTTAAGTCGTGCCACATCAACAAACAAAGGTCTTGAAAGTTTGACTACATCCACATCAGTAACGTCGACTCTACTTTGAGGAGATGGCCCTCCCTCAGTCGTATTTTGAATGCCTTCCCACTTGAGGGGCTCATCTTCCGGCGCTCTGTTACATGTATCTTTATAAGACAGGAGCAGAAGGAAATTTGACACATATGCACACGTAGAAGAGAAGGTGATGTGAAGACAGAGGCAGAAATTGCAGTGACGCAGCCACAAGGATTCTTCCTTAGAGGCTCTGGAGGGAATGTGAACCTTCCAAAACCTTGGTTTTGGCCCAGTAATACTGATTTCAGCTCTAGCCTCCAGAACTGTGAAAGAAGAAAATTCTGTTGTTTTAAGCCACCCAGTTTGTGGTAATTTGTTATGGCAGCTACAGGAAACTGAAAGAAAGGGTGTTCTGTTACAGGAATATGAGGCACTCCTAACAAGGTAGGCTGAATGGTGGTAGAATTCAGCAAAACCTCAGAAGAAAAGCTGAGTCTAGACCTTCCATACAGGATTTCTGTGCAACAGTCCTTGTCCGTACTGTGCACTTAGTCTATAGGGACATAAATAAAATTATAATACACTAGCTGTTCACTTATTCAGGTACAGTGAGAAAGGAGTCAAGGAGAATTTGTCCACACTGTATTTGAGCAAATAGAAGATTTTAAAAGACCAACCCATGTTAAATATGAATAAGATAGAAAGAAACAGGATATCCAGTATCCAGACCCAAGGCATCAGCAAAAAGTGTGTGTGTGTTGGGGAGAGGAACATAGCATGGATGAGACAGATGAAGAAACTTGTCGGGAAGAAAATGTAACTAAATAAATAAAAGAAGACAATTCCTTACATATGTTTCATGTTACTGTAAGTTAATAATACTAATTTACTGAAAC